ACTGAGAGAAAAAAAAAATGAATTGTCAAAATTACCAGAATAATGTAAAATTTACTGTATTTCTGACTCTAGTAACACCGAAAAACTTGATAATTTTCGCCGAAGTGCTATGGTAGCGATTTTGGTAAAATTAACGATAAAATATGATTTTATAATTTGTGATAAAATTTAGTAAATGTTGTTAGATTTGGCAATTTTATCACGAAACCTTAGAGGATAAAACTAAAACCATTTATTCGGTCAAATTTATTTTTTTGTTTTATATTTTTTAATCTATGGTAATGAGAACTATATTTTTCAAAAACAAAACGGTAATTTTACGGTGAAAAATTGACTGATAGAAAATGTAAACTTTCTTTTACAAGAATTATTATAAAAGCAAAACTAAAATTCAAATTAATTTGCTATAACTTTGATTTTAACTGATTTCTTTTTACGTTATTTTTTACGCTGAATTTTCTATTTAAATTAATCGCCATAAAAATGTTCGCAAAATATGTTTTTAAGCGTATAAACATAAATCATGCATAGCCAAAACAGTCTTCGACTAATTGTAAAAAAATAGAGAATTTCCAATTAACTTTAAATTAAAATTAATCTTATTAAATAACTCGAAGAATTTCATTTTTATTTAAAGTATTACATAAGCATAGTTTTTTAATCCTTTAACTTGCACAATATCAATGTTCAGCTCAAAAAAATAATTAACAACATTTATGGATCTTTTTGTGTTATAACTATATTTTTTTTAAACTAACAGGAATAAATGTACAGAAAAATGTTAGAGAATTCAGCAAGTAAAAAATAAAATAAAAATAAATGTTATTCTTTTTAAATTTGTGCAATCATTATTAGGACACTAGTTTCTAATGAGAAAGCCTCACAGAAAAAGAATGTTAAAGCCTTTTAGTCAATAAGAAAAATCAAACAAAACTTTTTAAAAAGCAATTTTGCGGTTTTTACAGAAATATTAATTATATCCGATTTTTTTTACTTTAGATGTTAGAAGGAAAAAGAAATTCTTTCAAAGATCTTTTGAATTCCGTTCTTTTTGCTTAAATTTATTTTCTTGCAATTTGCTCAGTAAAACGTAAATGCATAACAAGGCAAACAGAAGAAAACTCTTGCCACTAAATACTTTACATTTTTGAATTTTTTTCCTCTTTTTTAACGAAAAAAACTGAATGTCGCTTCACCTGAATGATTAAGACGCAGAAAAGGAATTTAATAAATTAAGAAGAAACGAGAAGTGTTAAGAGAAAAACATTCAATCGTTACGTTTTTACGAACCTAATTGCTTAAAAAGTTCATAGTTAAAATAGTACTCCGTCATTGAACTAGAAACAAATAAAAGTTTGTAATTATTCTTTAGGTACTTTTTGTAATGGTTTTTCCCTTTTTTGTTTAAATTTTTAACCAACTTTTTCTTACTTGAAAGGAAAAATGCTTTAGTTTTTTTTTCTTTATTCTATCAGTTTGTTTTTCCTTCTTTTATGTATAAAACTTTAAATTTTTAAAAAACGAAATAAATAATCATTGAAACAAAAAAAAATTATTATAAAAAAATGGTAAATGGTTATTACTTGAAAAACATTTTTATTTATTTCATTTTTCTGTTAAAAAATTTTTTTTCTTTACATTTCGTAAACATTTTATTTCTAATTTTTTCTTTTTAATTTTTTTTCAAATTATGTAAAAGCTATAAATAAAACAAGAAAAATCACTAAACAAGTGAAATTCATTTTGTTAATTTTGTTCCATAAAAAATGATAAAATTTTGGCATATTTTCTTTAAGAACTTTACATTTTTAACAATAAATTGAAAGCAAAATTAAGAATATAAAATTTCGCTAAATGTGTGTCTTTTTAAGATTAAATACAAAAGTTTTATAAGTATTTTTGCACCATTCAAAGTTCATAAACGTAGATAATTTATATAGTTGAAATTTACTACTCTTAAGGAAGCGTTAAGTTGAACTATGATATCATGTTTCTTAAACTTGATTCCATATATAATATTCATTTATATTTTTAAAATATGGATAATAAATTAAATGACTTTGAAAAAGTTTATAATAAATAAAATATAAATAATTATTTTCTTAAATTTATTATGGTGTAATTTTACACAAACTTTAGCGACATAATTTAAGATGTAAAACCTTAACATTAATGAACAATAAAAAATGCCCTTTTTTCCTCTCTAAACTTTTTAAATAAAACAAACCGAAAAAACTCAAAACTTGCTGAAATTTGCATTAAGTATGTTAGACTATAGGCACACAAACGTTATTAATGAGCTTACTTTTGACGCCTTAGGTAATTTGTTTCTATCTTTTAGTGGAAGCAAAAACTTTTAAGTTAAATTTCCCTCGCAGAAGAGAACCCGATTTCTTCTTAAAGGATAGAGCCATGCAAATTGAAAAATAATCTCTATCCCCCTACTTCTTATCTAGGTCCATAACAATCTACAGTATTTACTCTCTTCCTTCCAACATCCCCCACCTATTCCTAATCCGAAAAATTTCCGCAATTTTCTCACAGTTTAGAATTGTAGATGACTGCGAAGATAGTGAAAATTAGTCTTTAACATGCAAGTCCCGAATTAACAAATTACACGCTGGGTTCATCCGTAAATAAATAAAAAAAATAAAGGATGCTAGAAAGGAATAAAAAATAAAAAAAACTCCCCTTCCCCTTGCGATCGTATATTAAAAATCTTTCCCTTTATTATTATTTTTTTATCTTTGAAATTTTTCTTTTAAAAAATTCATTAGACTGATGCATATTGGTGGCGTGTAGTACTCCGTTAAGCAAATTCATTTTTATTTCCTCTCTGTTGAAAAAGTTTGTTTTTTCGAACTTTTTTATGTATTTACTTAATTTTTTTTCTTCCTTCTTTTTTTTTGCTCTCTTAAAGTGATGAATGAAGATTTGGATCAGGAAACCATCAGGTGTGTGCATTAAACGTTTTCTTCTTCCTCACCGAACTCTTTTTCTACGCGTTTCCCCGATGATTATTTTCTTATTATTTGCGAAGAGTGTGTGGTGCGGTGTGAGCATTGAATTTGACGGTCGTTAAGGGGTCGCTTGTTATACCAAATCTCACTCTCTAATTATTATGGCCAGATCTTCAAAATACCTATATTCTTTCATTCCCTCCCTCAACTATTTTTTTTCCTTCATATCACGCCGATGCGTTTTGTTTATTTATATTTATGCATGCGATTGCTCGGCGTAGGGTTATTATCTTTCAAATAAAGGAAGAAGATATTGGTTTTTGCGGTTCAGTTCACACCTAATTTATTCATTAATTTTCTTTAGGGAATTCGGCACTTTTTTTTTTGCCCCCCACTTTCTTTCGTGTGAATGATTTTTATTAACTACCTCTTCGCACGCGTGTCTTGGCATGTCATAAAAAGATGAGGAATGGAATATAGATACGCAAGATAATTAGAATTTTCATTGTTCTTTGAAATTCGCTGATAGTTTTTAGTTGAACATATGTCAAACTTTATTTGGTTTTGCCATTTTTTCACATTTAGTGGTACTGATAAATTTTGAAAATAAATATTTAGTGTAAAAAGGATTTGCGTATTTACCTAGTGGTTTCTATAAATTTGAATTACACTTTTAGACGTTTAGATTTCTCAATTTCTTGTTCAATTCACGATAGTAATAATAATAACTAGTGGGCTGCGGCCCCTGCTCTCTAACGCTCGCCAACGCCCGAAAATTGCTACGTAATCTTATATGGTTTGCTTCGCAAACCAAGCTCGCTTCTCTCGCTACTAACTTAGGTACATTGCAAATGCACAAAATTCTAAAAATTCAAAACAATCATTCAAATCCATATAACAACTTTTTTTTATTTTTTAAATTACATCTTTTTAATAAATACTAAGTCATTAAAATAAATTTGAATTCAAATAAAGACTCCTTTTTAAATGAATAACTAATAACAATAATAAGACAAATAAATTCGTGATATAAATCAAAAATCATCAAATAAATTCGTAATAATTCGTGAAAAAAAAAGCGCTTTCCACAAAATACTAAAATAGAGATCTATCGACAAAGACTACTCACTTCTGCCTAGCTTAATAGTATGAGATTGCCGCAGCTGAATTGTTATTTCGTTTTCGTTTTTAAAGCGCTATATGTTGAGCCACATCGGCTAGATTCGGCATGTGACATTTTTAGCGGCAATCATTGGTCGATTTTCTAGCGTTGCCATTCGGGGAGTTGTAATGAGGCTCAGCTAAGATATGTGCCACTTTGTGCTCAAAAGAGCCCTGGTTCAAAATTAAAACCCATCACACTGGGCAGAGATTTTTCTTTCGCATGTTTCATAACAAATAAAAACATTATTATAAATGTAATATTATGTATGTAAACAAATAAAAAGCATATTTAAATAAAAACAAATTTTTGAAAAATATTGTAAATCTACTTTATTCAAAGAATTCATTTTTATTTAAATACTTTTACTCTTAATATTTGCAAACTTTTTTGCTATAAAAATATCTTTTCTGTACATATTTTCAGGGCCTGATTTATCTAAAGGCCAGAGTAGCCCGGGGAAAGGGTCTATGTGGCCCTAAAATTTTCAAACATTTTTTTTTGTGTGTATGCTTTTCCTAAAGAATTATGAGTTAACAAAAATTTAAATATAGAAAAACACAAATTTACTAATATATCATAATTTACTTTTGAAAAGGTCAAAGAGTATTTTGTACACGTAAATTTGAGGACCAATGGGCAGACAAGAACCTTAGGATTTCTAAATCAGGCTCTGTATTATTGTTTGGAAACAGAAATATTTACTTTATTCTAAACAATTGTCACAACTTTGAAACTAAGCTTTTAATTTTTTTTAATAATATCAAACTTTGACTTTAAACATATAAGTGTATGCTTATAAATGAAATTTTAAATAATTTAAATGTTTAATGAAATTTAATTTCCAAAATTTAAAAAAAAAAAACTGACTCTCTTACCTGAAGCTGATTCACTAGCTTGAAGTTGGGAAAAAAGAGGCGGGGAAGGAGGAGCTGGTCCTTTACTATCGGCGGCGCGCATGACATAACACAAACATTAACCTGTAAAAAATAAAAAATATTTTTTTTTAAAACTAAATTTAAAAACTAATATTACTGCTTACCAAATTAATATTAATGTAATTTTGTTATTATATTTGCTAAACCCTTACACTGTTAGAAATTTCTCGGAAGAAATGGTTAAATAATAATTTATTGAATTGCTATTTTACCATATTTAAACAAAACAGTCAAATAACCGTAAATAACTCAGTTTAATACATTTCATGCAATGCCAATTTTACAAAGATGCATTTTAATTAATGATATTTAGTTTTAATTATTTATTGCAATTGAAAACATAAACTATTGATATGGATTTTATAAATTCTGTCTCATTAACACATACCTTAAAAATATTTATACATTGAAAAAAATATAATTATTTTAATATACGTTAATGATTATAACCATTGATTGATATAATAGCCTTGAAATTAAGTATAATTGGATCTTTTATGTTAAATATTAGATATTTACCTTTAATAACTTTCCTTTTTCATAAAAACTTTTAGTTACTTTATGAATAAATACAGTTATAAATTGGAATCGTGAAGAATTTTTGTAAAAACATAAGAATGTTTTATAAATGAATGTGTGGTATTATTTATGCATGACTTATTTTTAAAAAAAAATTATTTTCTAATTAAAATAGTCAATACAGGGAAAAAAGAAATGAAATATATCATTAAAATTTTTAAGGCTTTTTATTGTTTTTTTAAGTTATAAGCATTTATATGTTTTAGGAAATATTTTTTGACACACAGCAGGTACAGCATCTTTTGCATTAGTAGTTCTTCTAAAAAAATAATTGTTACTTGAAATTACAATTATTCAAGAAATAAAAAAATATAGAACATTTTCTACCGCTTTTTATTATGAATTTTTATAATAATATAAATTATGGAATTATACATTAATTGTTCCGCTCTTTTAGCAAAAAGAATGAAAAACATTAGACATTTTTTTCTTCTCTTCCATACAATATTCCTTACAACATTTAATCATAACTAAATTTATTATTTATTCTACTTATATTTCAAGAACTTACACTTTGAATTATGAGGATCAATACAAAATACCAATGATCAAACTAAACAAAAGCATAACATACACTTTTTGTGCATATTTTGTTATAATGTGTAGTAAAAAAAAATATTTTTCTTTTTCCACTTACAACTTACAGTACTTTATTAATTACTTCTTAAACTAATACCGCTATTAGTGATCATAGTAATCAGCTGTTTATAAAATCATAAAATAAGATTTTATCCCTTTCCTTTTCGAAATTTTTTATTAAGTTTTAATTCATGAAGAAATTTTCTAACAAATAACCGTCATACATATTAAAAGTAGTTTCAGTGCTTTCATTTTAGTATAATATAGATTTTGTCATTATTTTATGTAATTTGTAAATGGTTATAATAATCAATGAACCAAAGAACAATATAGCCAAATAAATTACTACAGTTTTTATTGTTTTCTAAGAATACTGTTTTAAATTGTTGATGATAAAAATATTATTTTTTTATTTGCAGTAAGAATAAAAATAATTCTTTTTAAAATAATTTATCTATTCTTTTATCTGCATAAATTAATCCTTACATTATTTTTTTTTTAAAAAAATAATCGTTGTCATCGATTAATCAAGAAATTTTAAATAAAACACAATTTCCATCGCTTTCCTTTCATAAACCTTTGCGTTATTACACTATAAATAATAGAAATATTTCCCCAATAAATTGCCGTTCTTTGTGTTCAAAAATAATAGAAATCGCTGTTAAGCGTATTCAAAAGAAGAATAGCGAATCAAAAGTAACACGAAAAAAATCAGAAAACTTTTTCATAAATCACGAAAGAGAGTCTATTTTTTTTCTTCTTCTTTTTACTCGGGTCAATTTTCTTCCTTTTAAACGGCGATGATGCAGTTTCTCCTGACGCAAAAGAAATTGAATAATGTAATTCAATCTGAAGCATTTAATTTTAAAGTCAATATTATTTAGAGGGAAAAAAAAAAGAAATAGATGGAAAAAAATCCCTTTTTCCCCCGTTCTCCCGTGATAAATACTCAGAAGAAAATATGCATGTATTGAGACAAACTTAGCCCCCAAATTCAATTATCTGGGAGAGAAGGCGTTTAAAAATCATTGCCGTTTTTCATTACTTCCCGTTTTTGAAAACCTCAGCTTTATATTTATCGTCGACCGTTAAGTCACAGGGTAAGTATTTTGAGATTTGAGAATGCACGCTGTAAAGGGGGAAGGTTATTTAAAAAATTTTCTAGGGGAATTATGGGACATGCAAGACAGTATCTAGATTTGCCAGCAGTTACATTCTTGTCACAATGGACTTAAGGAAGTTAAGAATAAAAAAAAAATAGTACTGAATCTAAACCAATGCAGTATCGAATAATATTAGTGGGGTCAAGAAGTTACGGCTTAAGTCTTAAAAAAGACTTCCTTCTATAATTGCAGTAGTAAGGCAAAATTAAGGGAGTATCTCTTGTAGGATTATCAGCCGTTATATTTTTATCACGATAGAATCAAAAAGTTAAAACTGAAAGTAGTAGTGATGTTAAGTCAAGAAAATATTTAGAATTGTCAGTGGTTATACACCGAAGAGCCATCACATTATGACCACCCTGCTAATGACATGTAGGACCACCTTTAGCCCTCAAAACTGCTAGCACCCGCCGTGGCATTGATTCCACAAGGTACTGATAGGTAGTCTGAGGTATCTGGTACCAAGCGCTCACCAATTGGTCCTGCAATTCCCTCGCATTGCCAGGGGTAGCGTGGCAGTACGAATTTGGTTTTCTAAGTAGGACCACAAATGCTCTATTGGATTAAGGTTAGGTGAATTTGGGGGCCAAGACATGACTTGAAAGTCACTGGAATGTTCCTTGACTATTCGACCTTTATGACATGGTGCATTATCCTGCTGGTAAACACCATCCCCCGCAGGAAACACTATTGCCATGAATGGGTGAACCTGGTCTGCAACTATGTTCAAGTAGTTTACCGACGTCAGGGATTGTTCTATGAGGATTATGGGTCCTATGAGGATTATGGGATATGTGTACCATGAAAACATTGTTCCTGGGCGAGAAACCATGAAAACCTGGACGAGCCCATTATCATAGATGGAAGGTGGTCATAATCTAATGGCTCTTCGGTGTATATTAATTTCGATTGACTCAGAAAGCTAGGACTTAAGTTAATAGCGCAGCAAGGCAAAGACAAAATTACACCGAAGAACAATTTTTTTAATATTTTATTTTTTTAAATTTTGTTTTCTGCTGAATCAGATTTTTTTGTAGAGCTTAGATAGTTTCGTATCGTTGATTTCAAATCTGCAACCGGTTCTATAGTCGAAACGTACATACTTAAAAACGTTATATAATCGAGGGTTGCAGAAATGTTGCGACAAACTTTTAAGAGAATTAGAGCTAATAGTCAGGATTAAAATTGCACAAGAACTCATTTCAGGAAATGTCGTCATACGCCTCTAGGAGAACTTCAATTTTGCAAACTGTTACTTTATGGGCTTCGGAGCAGCTCAAAATGGGGAAACTCTCCCAGCCGCGTACGGCGACATTTCGAGGTATGGATTTCCATGCAATATTGATTCTAATGATGTGCTCTAACTCCTTTAGTAGTTTGTCGCAACATTTACTCGATCTCCTGTTCTATATAAAATTATTAAACTTTTACATTTCGACAAAAAATAAACTCAAAATGTCATTTAAAAAAGTCTGTAGCTTTAAGAGCAAAACTAATTTTGGATTCGAAATTTCCACATCCCAATTATGCAAGATCAAGTACTCACACAATTACAACCAAAATTTTGTACCTAGTGTTATCTACTTTTATATTTTTATCACTGTGGACGCAGGAAGTTAGGAAATGATTAAGAAATAAAGCAAGGCTAAGACAGTATAGAGATATGAACAGTTATACTCCTGCCATGATAGAATCAAGAAGTGAGGACCTAAAATTGTCCTGAAGCAAAAACTGAACACTGTCCAGAATCATCAGAAGTTATTTTCTTAAAGCGCAAAATCGTAATAACTTAAAATAGTGTTGGAACTAGAATTTAAAGTAGTAATGAAGCAAGGCCTAGATGAGTTTGACGTTGTGCTCTGGCCTCTCCGAAGCGAAAATAATTCAATTAACATTCTAACTTATGTGGGTAAACTTAGCTCAACTTAAACACGCCATTTTGCTTATGAACGTCATAGGCCACATGTGTGGACATCCGTGATCTTCTTTTTCTTAAAGTGCAAATACCCAATTGGATACCTGCAAGTGACATCATCATAGGTAAATCGCGGCATTTGTTGGTTTAGAAACCAATCAGGTTCGACCCAGACACGTGACGTCGCTTACAGGTATCCGATTAAATATGATTTAAATCACAGGGTTAAGCTTAATTAGTTCACGTCTTCTCGCGTTGCAAATACCTAAAATCTTATTGTGTTTTCAATTTTTATTAATTAATTAAAATTTTTATTAAATAATTTTTTTTAAATATTGATTCTGATGCTATCAAAATGGAAAGAAAAAAAAATTGAAATGCGTTGACTTAACCCGGTAATGTTTCAATCGCATGGATAAAAATCAGACTCCTGTCATCCATTATCCGGGAGCAGGCCTTGAAAAAAGGATTTACCAAGTCCGGGCGGAGTTATAAGCAAGGAATGCGCCGCAATTGTTATGGCGCGCCAACTTTAAGATACGACAATACCGTATGATGAGAATTGAGAATTGGTTTTGGTATTTTCTTCTAAAAGGGGGACAGGGGATGAAACTTTTATAAAATAAAAAAAAAATAAAATAAAAGAGGTTGAAGGAAAGGAAGAAGTTAATGGGGAAATTTTGGGAAGAAAATCTTCCATAGAGTCTCCCCGATGAAACTTTTATCGCCAGAGACCTTTTATGCGAAGGTATTTATTATTCCCAGCCACTTGTCTCTCTTTTGTGACAAGTCTACTCGTAACAGGT